TTGATTCCTCTCCCTTGATCCACCACCTCCAAATCACTATTTTCCCTTTTCAGTGGCCACTTCTCTAGCCTAAGCTACCACCATCTTCCCTCCTCACCCCTGCAGCAGGCCCCAACTAGCTTTACTGCTTTTACTTGCTCACTTTTGCTCCAGCAACCAGCATGGACTATTAAAATGTGCATCACCTTGTGTCACTTCTCCTTAAAATGACTTGGTTTCCCCCCTAACAACTTCTTAAATCTCTCAGTTTCCTTAACTAGCTTCTCTGTTCCTTGAATTACTAAGAAATGACCTACTGTCACTCTTAGACTAAACTCTAAGCTTCTTTCAGACACGCACTCCATGGTCTTTGCCCTCCTTTCCACCTGGATCTGGTGTGAGTACCCGCCTGCTCTCCCTGTCTCGGCTACTCTGGCCTTCTGTCACCACTTGGAACGCACCAAGCCATTCCCACCTCTGCCCTCTGCATATGCTGATTCCTCCACCCACAAGGCTCACCCCCCATCTTTGCATGTCTGAACCTCTCACCCTTATAGTCTCAGTGTAAACGGCATTTCTTCACTGAACACTTCCCCAACAAACCAATATCCTAGTACTGTCTCTCATAACAGCCTTCATAGCACTATCCACAACTTACAATTGCTTGTTTGATAACTGACTCCTCTATTATAATGTAAATTCCATAAGGGTAGTGTCTGGTTTTGTATCCCAGTACAGTATCGACCTACACCAAGTGCTATGACACAGAAAAGATGCCTAATAAATATTTTTAAAACAAATGCATCAAGGAGAGAAGAAAAAAAAGCAAGCAAGCTAGTTTTCCATGAAGCTGTTTCATATAACCTCTCTATAGAAATGAACAGGGACAGGTGTTTTAAGCGAACTTATAATTCATGAAAATCTAAATTTACATAAAGGGTATGTTGAAAGGTGATTTTTCCACTTTACAAAAAGATCCATCATAAAATTCTTTAAACAGGCTTCCCAGGTACATGGAACATAAGATTTTATTGATTAAAACCATATGTTTGAACAGAATTTTTCAGGAAAATATCTTTTATATAAAGCAAGGTTGACCTATAAGCAATTTCCTCAAGGCACCTAGCCCAGAATGGCCAACTCTCAAATTTCCTAGGTAATAGATAATGGGAGGCCTGGAATGCAGTGGATATTTGAAACCCTAGAATGCAAAACAGTAATTTCAGCCATTTAGGGCCCTCGTGATTCTTCTTACAAAAATAGCTAATGGGGAGATGAATCGGTGTATTCCAGCTTCCCCAACTCCTCCTCCTGTGTGACAGTGAGAGAGAGAATGGCTGTGAAATGACCCCCAAGGAGGCTGCTATGAGAAGCAGAACAAAGCTCATAAAATCTACCACTGGTCATTAAGTTGTCTGGTTGCAAAACTGGAATAAAAAAATTCAGCGTGTGAATAAATAAAATGCAGTTAACTTCTCTGGGTCTTAATTTCCCCATCTGAACAGTATGGGAGTCCTTTTAAAGATTATTGTTGTGCGATTTTGTTCTTGTGACTGTTTTCTCTGTCTAATAAAATAAATTTCTCAACCCTTTCTGCTCTTCTTTTTTTAAAAAATTAATTTATTTATTTTTCTAAATACATTTGTCTCTGCCTTCCCCCCACCACTTTCCCCTGCCCCTCTCCCCCCTCTCCCTCCCTCAATCCTTCCCCACTTTGGCTTTGTCCATGAGTCCTTGCTATATGTTCCTTGACTTGCCCCTTCCCTTCCTTTTCCCCCACCCACCCCTCCCTCCTTCCCTCTCAACTCTTTCTGCCCTTCTTATTGGAAACTTTAGTAAATGACCATGAACTTTAAACCAAAACATTTATGGTATTTGTGGAATTGGTTAAATTGACTATTACTGATGATTCTTGCTAAGAACAAATGCTTTGCAGAATTTACTTAAAACTAAACTTTTCTTTATCAAACATGTTTCACTGTGATGGGAGTATAGTAAGCCAAGCCATTTTTGAACTGCAGTACGAGTGAAATATTTTAGCTGCAGGAAGGAAAAACTCTTTATTGGTTGGAGTAATAAAGAGCAAGGTAGACTAGGGCATAGGTTAGTTTTACCCTTCAAAAACAAGACTATTGTCTCAGAAAATCCAAAATCTCCAAATTTAGAAGATATTTAAGATATGGAGAAAAAACAAGCCTAATATCTGTAGAGTTTTGGCAACATTTTTGCCTTTATCAACTTCCTGAAGCATTATTCTACCTTTACTTCCTACAGTTTTTTCCCAATTATTAGTATATTTGATGACATTTTGAGGGTACTAAAGTATTAACTTCTTACATAAAAAATTTTAGAACAGTGGTGTTGATTCCTAAGACTTTTTTGCATGGGTCTGAAAATCTAAAGAATATATTCATGGAAACACACATTATTTAGATATTCCCTGTTTTGTAGGTTAAAGAGAAATCTTAAATATATCAATAAATCTCAATTAAACATTAATGTTCTCATGTTTTGTCTGTATTTTTTTCTGTCTTCCCTATTTACATGTATAAATGATATTAGGTCATTTCTTCATTGAGAAAGATTAGATTCAGTAAGGGAGGCAGGAAAGAGAGAGAGAAAAAAGGCTGGGAATGATGTTGTTAAAATTGATACTTGATCAACCAAGATCCCAAAACTAGACTGGCTACAGGAAAACAAAAGATGCAGTAGGAGCAGAGGCTGATAGGGAGATAGCAATGGGAAGAGAGAAAGTCCATGAAAGAGGATTTGTTCATTGGAATTATAAATTTAAAAAATATGCAGAAGAGTCAAGAGTGGCAGAGGCTTCTGAAGAAAGGATGTCGTCTGTATTTTAAGAACAGGACGATGGTTGCTGGTAGTGATGTCTCCGATGTGTGATACTTGCAGCTGCCACTTGACCAACAACTTCTGCTTTGGATTGAAACACAATCTAGAAAAGTAAATAAATATTAATCCATTTTTATGAAATTCAAAAGAAGGCATGAGTTTTTTACAAGGTCCTCATATGAGGAGATTCTGACTCACTGTGCATTTGTCAGGATGTTGGGGGACAGGTTTGGGGGGGAGGGGGATTGTTGGCAGTCACACTGAGAATTTATAATTTGAAAAATGTCCTCAGGTTAGAGTGACTTTTTACCCTGGCTATCAGCAAAGCATCAAGTCATTTTCTCTTTTTTTTAATGTGTGTTGATACCAAGACCATGGGAGATTGATTCTGAAGAAAGTATCTGTTGGGAAAAATGCCTGTCATTTAAGAATGTGTCCTACTAATAATTTAATAGCTTTTTTTAAACTTCAAATGTGCAATTATATTTTCTTAAAAATGCTAAGGAAACACACTGTTCTTTTAAAAGGAAACCTAGTGTTTTTAAAGGGAAACTGTTAGCTGTGGGTCGGAGTGTAAATTGGTACAGTTGCTACCAAAAACAGTTATGGAGGTTCCTCAAAAAAGTAAAACTAGAACTAGCATATGATTAGCAATCCAGAATCCAATATGTTTTGAATATATAGCTAAAGGAATTGAAATCAGGATCTTGTAGAGATATCTGCACTTCCATGTTCACTGTAGCATTAGTCTCAATAGTCACAATGTGGAAACAGCCTAAGCTCCCATCAGCAGACAAATGGATAAAGAAGATGTGGTATATAGAAGGTGGGGCAAAAGTAGGTTTACAGTTGTGAGTACCCAAAACACAGAGATTATTCTTGTATTATTATTTATTAACTCTTGTATTATTGTCTATATGAACAACTGTGAACCTACTTTTGCCCCACCCGGAATATGCAATGGAATATTATTCAGCCATGAGAGAGAAGGACATCTGTAATTTGAGACAACTTGGATGGATCTTGAAGGCATTATGCTAAGTAAAATAAATCAGATGAAGAGGACAAATACTGTATGATGCCACTCATATGTGGAATCTAAAAAAAGACAAACTCAGAGAAACAGAGAAGAATGGTAGTTACCAAGGGTTAGGTGGTGGGGGAAATGTAAAGATGTTGGTCAAAGGGTATAAACTTCCAGGTGTCAGATTAACAGATTTGGGAATCTAATGTATACTATAGTGATTATAGTTATAATCACTATAAAGTATCATGTACTTGATGTTGCTAGAAGAACAGATCTTAAATGTTCTCACAACAAAAAAGAAAAAGTAACTATATGCTGGGATGAAGGTGGAAGCTAATGTTATGGTGGTAATCATTTTGCAACTTATAAATTAGCAAACCAACACACTGTACACCTTACATTTATACAATGCTATGTGTCAATTGTATCTCAATAAAAGTGGAAAAAATAAGATATCATAATCGCTGCTGTGCTCAGTTCACAACAAATATGGGCACCAAGGAGTGTCAGAGAACACAAAGCCCGGGCTGACTTAGGAAGCCTGTGGCTACATAAGAGACTGAACGTTCTGTGGAGGAAAGAGTGTAGTGTAGGAGGCAACCCAAGTTCTAATCCCAGCCCTGCCCCGAACTTGTTGGGCGGTCTTGGTCAAGGCCCAAGGCCTCTCAGAGCTTCCAGTTCTCCATCTGTAAAATGACAGTATTGAAGTAGGTGTTCAGTAAGGATGCTTGCAGCACCATCATTTTATCACCCCGTGCGTTTAACCTTCAATGTCAAAACCACTTGGAGCTCTGGAGGCCTGTTTAGGAGGTCGATCAGTTTTTACTTATATATTAATGTTAACCTTTCAGTTCTTTAATCTCTACTGAATTAATGGTTTGACATTTTTACTCAGTCACATGATGTTGTGCATGCTGCACAATCAATATCTGAGGGGGAAAAGGAGGGAAGAAGGAAGAGAGTTCAGTAACTATATTATTTTTCTGCTTTCAATATCTTATTTTACTTCCATTTTATGCAACCTGATCTTGTATCACTTGGAATAAGAAATTACAGTTTAATGAGTTCATCTCATAAATATCTTAACTTTACCACAAGAAGAACATTATTCTTAACACTCATCTTCTCCTTCATGTTTCACTAGATTTGGAAAAAAGAAAGATGATAAGGGGGGCAAGCCTGAGCCGAAGGGCCCCCTGAAGCCCGGTGGCCTGAGAGAAGAGGAGCTGGAAAAAATGAAAGAGGAGCGGGAACGGTGAGTGGAAATGCCGGGCCCCGTTGTATTGGAGCCCACGGTCTGTATTTTATTTGGCTATTGCATCCATCAGCTGGATAAATTTCATTTTGAGAAGCACAGAGGGAAACTGATACAAAGGAAAAGGCACCTGATATAAAAGGAGACTGCCTGTCCTGGGGGATTTTTATTATATTTTGAGAAGAAATTAACTTTATGTTTTTATTATATCATTATTTATAATTTCATAATATACTACCCCTGGTTTTGACTCTATTAATGCATATTTTCCCTATGGTTTAAACAATGAGGTTTTTTTTTTAAATAAAATAGAAAGATCATTTTGATGTTGATGTTTAGGACTATCATATTTCCGCAGTCTGTTTCTGATTTTTGTCAAACAGTTGTACGCCTTCTTAATTTTATCCTGCTAAATCCATTTTGGGTGCTGTAATTTGAGAAGTCCATGTCCTTCATTTTTTAAGAGCCAGTGTCTTTTATTAGGCTATCAGCAAGTTGCAAAGCATGCCGCCCATCTGTTAAAGGGCCGGTTCCTTTTACTGGAATTATGACAGTTCGCGAGGGCTGAATTCTCCCATTTGAGGAGCTTCATGTTCCCATTTGAGCAAGAGGCCCTTCACATGTCTGTGATGTTAACTCTGGCACTTATCCCAAGTAGATGTGTAAATATCTGATCTTAAAACATGTAGTTGAATATTCATACTTCTCCTGAAAATTCTTTGCCTTTAAAACTAAATGGAGCTTGGAGAAAAACTGAGATTTGACAAAACTGGCATATAATTTTAGGTATTCAATTCTGACTTCATCATGCATCAAGTCAGATTCGTCCAATTCTTCACTTGCTTTTCATTCAGTAACAATAGTTCTTTTATTTTTTAGAAGAGTCTCTCATACTTATTTTAATACTCTAGTATGTGTACTAAGAAAATCATACTTATTCATTGTTTTCTAGCACAGAGCAGGCTGAGAGTATCTACTGTTAAACTTTGACCCTTATCTTGTAGAATATTCCCACTGGCTGACTTTATCAATAGCAAGAAAATAAAAAAAATCCTACCTAGTCCTTTCTCATTTCTAAGAGGGTGATAAGCTCCATCCCAGGGTCAGTGGAGCAGTTAAAAGGCTATCAAGCGCTTTCCATTGTTGTTGACCATTCACCTGATGGAGCTGTCCCAAAGACAAGAAGGGTGAATTCTCCATCTTAGCCCAAGTTGCAGTGATCCTGGAATGTAAAATGGAATTCAGGCTAAGGTTTTAATGCACGTATTGGCAAAAACACCTGTGTGGTAGGCCCGCATCAGGGGTCTTTGCGGCTCCATTGGCTTCACTTACCGAGATACCACATCCTATGCCTCCTCTTCAGCAAACTGAGCTGTTTGCTAGAGTGCAGACTTCACATTTTTTGAGGCTGAATACTTGCTTGGGACTGGAGTGGGAAGTGTGGGGTGAGGCGGTTACTCAGGGCAGCTAGGGAACTGTGTGCCAGCTAGAAAATTGATAACCCATAAAATAAGGTGGGTTGTCTTTAAGCAAGAGTTCATTTCCTTTCTGGTTTTGCCTTTAGGAAGCAGGTGCCTGAGGGAGTTTAGTTCTTAAAGCAAGGCTGTAAATTCACCTCAGCTGGCTATATAGGCTTCCGATCCAATTTTTAAAAAATATGTCTGGTCAAAATATTGACAGGACTGTGCTATTAGCCTTCATTTAGGCTCCGTCCCACACATGAACACATAAAACACATCTGATAGGGGTTTCCTAGAGACAACATTGTCTCAATCATATGTGAGGGGAAGAATTTGGAGGAGTTGATTTTATGGTTGGGTGCTATAGAATTAATGACCTTGGGCATTTCAACAGCTCGGGGGCCGAGGGCCGCAGGGGGTGGCGGGGGAGGCTGAACATTTGGCATTGTTCCCAATTCTGGAGTCCCATTTCTTAGCTCTCCATCATCCATAGGAAACCAATTCACAACTCCTAAAGAACTCAGCGAGTGTATCACTCTTTGTGGCATGGCTATGGAAAAAAATAAAATAAGAAAGAGTGTATAAAAGTTCGTAAAGTTGTCTTTTTTCTAAAACATTTGGAATTTATTAACTTAAGATGATTCAAGCCATCCTATTGCTTACTGGTTTTGTACTAGCTATCATAGACTTAACAGGTTTTCATTATCATATCTCTTTTACAAAGGATTTAAAGCACTTACGTAAAATATATACCATATAATGCTGAACCCAGCTTGTACCAGCTTTACCAGCTTGTGAGAAACAATTATTAAGCTTACAAGAATTCTGGGAGCTAGTTGATAAATCATTGAAATTGGTTATGGTGAGAGTATTTACTACTCCTGAGAAATTGGCAAATGCAATAAGCTGGGTTTGCTTTTTGAAAGAGCCAGTTTACACCATTGAGGGTCTATACCAGCTCTATTTAGTGTATAACCAGGAAGAAATTATCAAAAATAGAGGCAAAAAAATACTCATCCAAATCAAACCACAAGACTTCCTATAGCTGTGTTTCTCCAAGTGTGGTTCAAGGACCACCTGTGTTAGAGAATGAATCACTTGGGGCGCTTATTAAAAAATGAAGACTCTCGAATCCCACACCAGGCTTGCAGGATGACACTATCAGGAGTTGAAGGTCAGGAATCTGTGTTCAATCGGTAAGCCCAATGTGATTCTTCAGCATTCTAATGACAGAGAACCACTGACTTGGAGGGACAGGAATTGGCTGGAATGTTAGATTAAACTACCCTTATTTTGTGAAAAATGATACACAGATTTTTTTTTCCCAAGAGGACTGAATAACCCAGACTAAAAATACCTTCATCTTTTTTAAGTCCCCTCAGAAGCATCCTACCTTTCCAGCACACTGTGTCACAAACACAGGAAGACCCCTTGTTAGTGCCTCCACTTAAGAGAGTATGGATCACTTTTCCCCAGTACTTCCCATTCACAGAAAACTTAGAAAAACAGTAAGTTCATTAAGAAAATTTTGGAAACATAGAACAGTATAAAGACTATTACAATCATGTATAATTCCATCATAATTTTATAAGTATGATTAATATTTTATAACCCTTTTACTATATATATTTCCCTTGAAAACTTGGTATTCATACAGCATATACTCATATAGTATCTTACTTTTTCACAGCATTATATTATGAACCTTCCCCCATGTCATTGATGTTTTGAAAATATGTCACTTTGATGACTGCCTAATATTCTGTGAGAGCAACATACCATAACTTATTTATCTTTTATTGTCAAACATATAGTTTGTTTCCATTTTTTACTCTTCCAAATAGTAATACCTTGATGAGCACCCAGGTACAAAAGTCCTTGTAGATTACATTTTAAATCATACTATTCCTGTTTGAAGGCTCAATTTCCTTGTAACTGTTTCACTTAGGGGTTAATTTAACTTCAATTCTAAATTTTAGGATTATATCATACCTCTCCATTTCTCCCATTTTTATTATGATGTCCATATCTCATTTTTATTTATCTACATATCTAATATATGATATGGAACTATTTGGTACTATATATGAATAGCTTATTCATAACTATAGCTATGAAAAGGTCAAAAAAAAGTCATAACAGATGGATTGAGTTACTAGATTAGATTGGAGGAACTCAGAGACCAGAACAGTGTTTCTCAGTGGAGGGATGGGGGAGGGCAACTTTGTCCCCCAAGGAACATTTGGCTGTATCCGGAGACATTTTTGATGGTCACAGTTTTGAGGGGATAGGGGATGGGGGAGGGAGTCGCTACTGCCATGTACTTACTGGGTAGGGGTCAGGGACAAGGCTAAGCACCCTACAATGCACAAGACAGTCCCCTCCCCAACAATGACTTTTCCTACTCACGCTGTCAGTGTAGTGGCTGAAAGCCACTGTTCTAATCTCTGGACTTCACAAAGAGTGAGCATGCCCTCTTGGGCAGTAGAATTGATTGTCTCATAATGTCCTGTGGATAACACAGAGAAATATACACCAGATGACATAACCCTAGGCAGGGGTGTCCAACTTTTTGACGTCTCTGAGCCACACTGGAAGAAAAAAAGTTGTCTTGGTCCACACATTAAATCCATTGTGACACGTAACCACAAAAAAATCTCATAATGTTTTAAGTAAATTTACGACTTTGTGATGGGCCGTATTCATAGCCACGCTGGGACACATGTGGCCCACGGGCTGTAGCTGGACACCCCTGCGCGGGATTATTAGCTATTTGAGAAACGGTACCCCAAGATTGCTAATAAAAATTCCATCAGGATAAGCTTGCAAGAAAAAAGTTTTTCTCGAAATTTATTTTTAATGTTGGCCTGCTGAAATTGGCATCAAATGATGGTGCCTGTTGATCATATTTGAATGCCAAGAAGCTGCAGGGGTTGATAATGTGTCTGATGACAGAATCGTCTGGAACAATAGATTGAATCAAACACAAAGAAACTTAATAGGAATATATGTAAAGTCTTGCTTTTAGGTCCAGAAATGAACGGCACAAACACAGGATGTGGAAGGTTTGAGGTAATACCAAATATATGAAAAATTTGCCTGATGTTTTTAGTTGAGGGCAGGTTTAGCATGAGTCAATATGAGGATACGACTGCCAAAAAGGCTAATCTAGTCCTAGGCTGCATGATGGAAGTTCATGTACAAAGTGAAGGAAAAAACAATAATTCCAATTTTATACAGCTTAGATAATACCTGGAATATCCTATGCCTCTCTCACACACAAAGAATGGCAGCGCTAAATCCAAGTCTGTTAAAATGTGGAAGGACTGCATGAGAATGCATGGTCTGCAGAGGTAGCTGATTTCAAATGATTGAGGAACTTTCTCATAGGAGAGGAATTAGACATATTTTATATCATCTATTCTCTCTCTCTCTCTCTCTTTCTCCTCCTGACCCGTTCTTATTCATTCATTCATTTATTTTCTTGAAGACACCAATGAGGAATTATTTTAAGAGAGGTAGGCTTCAGCTTAGTGGAAG